TCTCGCTCTGTGGACGGAAAACACTACTGGGCTCTCGCGCCGATTCCCTCGGGACTGGCTGCTCTGGACAATTCAAACCTTCATCCGAGCAGAAACCGATAGCGAAATAACGGAAAGCGCTCCAAGATGCCGACGAGTCAGACTCACCACTTTCCAGTGGTGTGAAGATACCCTCCGTGGGCGGCCGGCCTGCGAACAAGCTGAAGATGCAAAAGGCTACCAGAACTACTCAGAGAGACCTGAGAAGCCAGAAACCCTGAAAAGGGCCCAGACCTGGCCCGATATTCGGCGACGGTAGTGGGGATGGACTGACCCAATGAGCGGAAGCTCTCAAAATCCAAGGTTCACCGGCAAAGCAGAACTGAGGTGGCGGCTGATGATCCTGCCCACCACCGCCAGAAACTTGCCGACCTTCTCTTGCTCGCAAGTAGTCGAAAAGAGATCGTCTCGCAGCTTCGATGGGCGGCCGGCGTAAACCCTTCGCTTCCGGCCGCCAGGACGACAACAGGTCAAGGCTCTCCACCGTCGAGGAAGCCTCCAAGCACAAGCAAACAAAGCTAAGCTCTCTTTTCAGGGATTTTACGGCATTTCATGCAACGGCGCACTGTTCCGGAAGATTGGCCAATGGCCGCAAGCGCAGACTCGACGCCTCCCAAAGCTTATTGCAACGTCTCCGGAACCGACGACCCCGTTCCGAGGAGCGCACATCTGGAGATAATCCCCTCGAGCACACCTCGGCTCGTCTCTGGGAGGAGACTGTGGGCAAGAAGCTTTGGATGCTACCGAAAGGCTGGGTTTGTGGGTGCCGTCGCCATCATCCGGATCTTCTCTGTAAAGAATCTGGCCTTTCGGGAACCCTGTCTTCATTGTGTTCGCTGAAAGGTTGGGCATGGCGTCTCCCTCCGGCCTATTTGGTGAAGTGTAAGTCCACGGTCTGCGCCGAACTTGAGTAACTTCGTCGTTCTTGGTGCAGCATCTGAACCCATCCGAAGGATAGCCGCATAAGTTTAGGTCACTATGCGTCTGTGCCATTGCAAACGCATGTCTGAGACCTTAGCACTTCCAGCAAGCGCAGGCATTCCCGGCCTCCGAATGCACAGAACAGCATAGATGACTAGAAGTAGAGATAAGGTCATGTCGTCTGCCGTACTCCATGCGCTCATGCACAGCTTCCGGCGAATTCCAAGCTGCATCTCGATGTTCTTGGCATCTTTCTCCGCTTCCAGGCTCCTGTTTGCTAGAACAAGCCATTTACGGAAGACGCGATTGAGGCATTGTCAGAGCTAGACGCCTAATGTAGTCCAGCTCGGCTTGAGCAAACGGCTTCTTCGCCTGGCTCCACAGCTAAGACCTACGCCGACTCTTCGCCAGCAAAAGGTCCCTTCCTGCGGCCAGTCCATCCAGACCACATCGGACGTATACACCTTCGACAGCTATCAGAGCACGCCGCATATCGCGAGGCACCAGGCACCAGGCCTCCAGTCTGTCGGGGAGAGACAGGCCATGATCAATGGGTATGAGCTTCGGCCTGGCTCAAGAAGCGCTTCGTATAGATGCGCTTCCCAATGGAAAAAAGCCGGATCCGGAGCCTCTTGCTCTCGGTAACAAGAAGGTTCCCGTCGTTTCTGTCCAAATTAATGATCCGGACCTCACAGCGCAGCTCGCACTAGTTACATCTAGTTACTATTACTGGCAACGATGAGTGCATCACTTGCACCCACGGCAGACGAATGGAAGCTGGATGAAGCTGGAGTGGGCAAGGGGTGGGTTCTATGCTGCAGGGCACAAACCGGAAAGTATTGGCACAGTCGATCGCCGCATAAGCTTCGAGCTACCACATAACCACCCAGGCTCTGAGAGACAGCTGAGCATCAGAAGGATTCCGCTTGTCTCATATGGTATCCTCTGGCCAGGCCGGAACCTCTCCCAAACCTAGCTCTTGCGGGCTTCTAGCTCGTAACCAAGCTAGATCTGAGTCCACTGCATCCAGGATTCCAATTCTATGCACAGATGAAACGCTAAAGACCTCGGTGCATTTCGAAAACCATGCGGACTGAGACTCCAGAAGGTGAGCGCCCCACTGACATCCCGAAGTCGCCAGAGGTGCCACATGAATTCACAAACTGTTGGAACGCTCCAACCTTCCATTCAACCTCCAAGTGGATCACAGCATCAAAACATGCCATTTCTGCGAAGACAGGTCGCGAAATCTCGCAACTTTCAGTCCAGCGCAAGCACTGCCCCGTAGGGTGCCAAGTATCGGGGTTTGAGGATGGCTTAGGGCTTAGGGCTGCTAGTCTTCGCAATTTAGATGCGCTTGGTTCTGATTTTGGGCTTGACTTCACCAGGGATCAAGCGCAAGTGAAGCTTTACTCGAAGGTTGGTCCTGCAGACCTGCCCCCAATTGGACCTTACTGTAGTAGTATTGCTAACCACAAGAACAACCTTGTAGGAGGCACTGGCTTGTTGGCGGCACTGACAAGTCTCGCTTCTACAGCAG